GGGTAAATGTATATGATGTGGAAATGTGGAATGATGAAAAATATGTGTTATGGAGAGTGATGTGATAATGTGAGTGTGTGTTAAAAAAAGAAAGAAAAAACAGGTGGCAACACTCTAAGCGCCATCACCGTATGAGGGGCAATGCCCTGGTCACATATGGCTGTTATAGAAGAGGGGCGTGATGGAGGGTCGTGAAGCCCCTCCTCATGCCCCATAACACATATAGTCTAAGTGTCAAAATGCCTAATTGCGCATGAATTTTTGTGCATGCTCAGACTTTTATCGTCTTAAAATTAACTCAACTTAAATGTTTTTTTTATATACTTACCTATTTACCCTATGTCTAGATCGTGGAATCTGATAGGAAAGAGGTTTTCTCACAAAAATGGGAGGAAAATTGTTTACCTTTTTAAAATCATTCTTCTTTTTTTTTTTTTTCACTTTTCTTCTTCTTTTTGTCCTCCAGTTAAACAAGAAAAATTATTTTTCATCTTTTTTTTAAATTAATATGTAATATCTCCATTCCTGAATATTTGTCGAGTTTTGACTTTTTACATTCAACCATTTTTAATATTTTATCTACAAATATATAATATACACATTTTAATATTAATTAAATAAATAACATTTTGTAAATATTTTATTAAAAAATTAATAAAACTATTTTTGTATCAAAATCTGATATCACTTTTAGTTAATTTGTGGTTAAAGTTTTCCAATTTTGACTGAAAAATCAAAAGTGAACAAATATTCAGGAACGAAGTTAAAACATCTATATCAATCTTACAACTTGTTTATGAATTTTTAAAGATATATTTTACGAAAGTGTATACGAGCCCGTGCAAAGTTATTGAAATGATAAATAAAATTGTTTTGTCTCTTATTCCTGGCGATGAAAGAGAACATTTGAATTTTGATTATTCATGTCAAGCAGATTCAAATGTAGGCATCAATAATGATTAGTTATTGATTGAGTTTTTGAATGAGATCAAGTGTTTGGGAATTCCAAACCACAAAATAGTTTTGAGTACCAATCATGTTATTGAGGAAAAAAGAGTTTTAATCCACATGGAATGTGTAATGCTACAAGGTTATTTGTTGAAGAGTTGCGGAAAAAAATCATACATGCAATTGTAGAATAATGAAACAGTGCCGGAGAGATAACTTACATATCGCGAATGAATTTAGTATCATCTAGTCCTGAATTACCCTTGAGATTTCAAAGAAGACAATTTCCGATATCTGTATACTTTGTTGTGAAAATCAATTAGTGTGAAGACCAAACATTTTCATTGGTTGGATTATTTTCACTTGCAGTCAACTTTATTTGTAGTTTCACGAATGAAAACAATGATAGATGCCTTCACTAAAAATGTGGTATACACTAATGTTTTCCAAAATATTTGGATTTAGATATACTTTTATATGTTTTTTCAATTTATATATAGATAAATTTCCTCTATCAAATATTTATAAATTTTAGAGGCCAATATTATATTTTTCTCCATTTTTTAATCATTAACCATGAAGAAAAAATAACAAAGTAAAAAATCATTCGTTTGACCCCTGCGTGGCACGAGTTAGAATACTAATCATATATATATATATATATATATATATATATATATATATATATATATATATATATATATATATATATATATATATATATAGATGAGTCTTTAAATGTTATATTTTATTTTCTCATATTAGCCCGTTTTAGCATGTTCCAAATGTATTTTATACACATTTAATCACTATTATCTTCATATAGCAATTTAGGCCATTATTTATATTTTGATCATAAATTGCATTCTTTTGAGTATTCTTTTACTTCACTATTTTTTATTATCTCATTTACCTTGACGTAGGTCTTAAAAATTGTTTTACGAAGCATCAAAGGGCTTGGTGACGATGTCAAGTTAAATCCCGGGGAAGCTGTCAAGAATCATACGGAGAATTGAAATGGGCCAAGTCACACAGGACATGACCCAACAGTTCCGAGCAGCCCACAACGAGTAATTAAGTCAGGAGCCCAACCAAGGGACAATCCAAACATCTTCAAAACTTAAACCTGCGCCACTCTTCGATCCTGCCAGCGGCTAACAAGAACGCAGCAACATAGAGACTCTGATTCAAACTGGAGTCCTAATTCGAGAAGAAGATCTCAAGCGCAGCAAGTAGGAAAACCCCGACGAAATCTTGGAGTCCTAATTGAAGACGGGAAGCTGATTTCCAGCCCCTATAAAACGCAGCTGGCAGCAGCGAAGGAAGGCGGAGAGAACACGACTAGGGCAGCGGCTGGTAACGAGGACTGAAATCGCAGAGGGTACGACCCTAAGAGGGTCTGGACTTCGGTCCAGATCCTCCTATTCTTTCTTCTTTATGTTTTTCCTTTGTTGCTTTCTTTCAACAATTGCTATTCAAGACTTCCAGCAACTTTTTGTCTACTCAAATTTGGCATGTTCTAGTTTTTTTCCTAGTTGGAATTGTTAACAAGATTTATTTGTTTTGGGTTGAACATCTGCACTCATTTTATTCAAGAGTATTAGTTTCAATGTTGTTCTTTAATTGTCCAATTTGTGTCACTTCAATCACATATTTTAATAATTTATGAAAGGATTGAAACTAAGAGTTTTGAATGATTCTGGTGGTGGTTATGTCTAACCTATTTAGCTTGTTGTGTTTGTTTAGTACGTATATATGTTCTTCTTGTTCATTTCTGGATTGCTTAGATTAACTAGCCTCTGAAATAATTGAACCTCTCTTATCAAAGACATATTCAGTAGCCCAATTGAATGCTCGGTTCCAGGATTCNTTTGTGTCACTTCAATCACATATTTTAATAATTTATGAAAGGATTGAAACTAAGAGTTTTGAATGATTCTGGTGGTGGTTATGTCTAACCTATTTAGCTTGTTGTGTTTGTTTAGTACGTATATATGTTCTTCTTGTTCATTTCTGGATTGCTTAGATTAACTAGCCTCTGAAATAATTGAACCTCTCTTATCAAAGACATATTCAGTAGCCCAATTGAATGCTCGGTTCCAGGATTCTTGACGGAGTAATGTGCTTTGGGAGACGTTCTAAGCCTTAGTGCTAGCGGTTGGTTGAAACTCAAAAATGGTGTTTGAAAACTGATTTTGTTTATGCTTGGATTAGACAAATTTAGGATGGCCACCTAAAATCTAATTCCAAATTGATAGTTTTGATGTATTAAGAACGTTAATAGCTGAGATTTTCAAAACACAAGTGTCACCCGATTAATACTTAATTGGCTCCCACCCGGTTTTTATTAATTGGAGTTTTCAAACTGGCTATGTTAAATAGATATAGTCTACTGCATAGTTGTTAAGTGATGTTTTCCAAAGAACATAATGCTCTATTTTTAATTAAATCTGGGGGCAGATCCTTGGGTTGTTAAAAATAATAGGGTCTAGAGTTAGGGCAGGACTTAACATAGGCTATACTAGGGAGAATAAGGAAGGACCACAGGTGGATTTCTTCTTCAACTTAACCCAAGAGTTTTGTCAATCATTTTAATTTGTAGTTCTAATTAATTTGAGAATCTGGGTTTGATCAATTGGTTTTTCAAAACTATAAAGTACTTTCAAAAATCAGTTTAAGTTAGTTAATATATATCGTTTAAGTTTTTATAAAGTTTAAGTGTTTGTTTTCGTGTTGGTGTTTGTCTTGTGTGTCTTCATCCTTGTTCTAAGTGGCTGCCATGGTTGTGTTTCTTGCCCATTTTCATCCTTTTTATTTATCTTTATCTTTCCAATTTATCTTTTAAACCCCCCCCCCCCAAATAGTTAGCTCTTTTATTAGTTGTTTTTAAATGGAAAAAACGTAAAACTTAAGTAAGTGATTTTCATAAAATAAAGAATATCTTTCTCCATGGGATCGACTCTTACTTACCCTAGCTATAAAATATAAGTTTTAAATTAAATAGGGGATAAGAAAAAAGAATTAATTTGTAGGCACTACGAAACGCCTAACATATATATATATATACATACATACATACATACATACATACATACATAAATATATATATATATATATATATATATTATTTAAATAATATTTTTATTAATAAAAGAAAAAAAGGAAAGTACAAGGGGGGTTGGCCGAGACCCTACATG